AGAGCCTGAAAATACGAATTGTATATACTCCTACTTCAAAAGACGTTCGGTCGGAGCTCTAAAATGGGCGATCTGAGACGATGTTTTTGTACTTTTTTGTTTTCTTGCGAAAATATCACATTTCTAACCCCACTGGTCATGCTTCGTATTCCAATCTAAAATGAAAATACATCGCTTGGCTGTGAATACATTGCATTTTGCAGTGCTACTACGTTTTTTGAAATAGGTTTATTAAACACAATTCAATAGAAAACCGGAAAATTAACTTCGAGCTAGGTTTCTTACTTTCATAATAGCAGTAAAACATGGTGATTCCATTATGATTCCAGTCACCAAGTTTATGATTTGGCACTGTTCCATGCTTCTGATAATAACTATAGCTGTAGTCATGCGTATGGTACTTGATCCATTCAGTTGTTGCTACCATCCATTTGACTTGTTGGCAGTCACGTGACCCATAAGGCAGCAGATAAAAGGGTTTGGTTATCGGTAACGAGATTGGAATTTTTTTGTTACCACTCGTTTGACAGAAAAAATACAATCTGATAGCCCAGTGGTAATACCTCTGGTTAGCAAATGGCCAAACACTGAAAAAATTGCTCTGCCTATCATCGTACATTTCAATCCATCCATAAGATTGCTTATCAGGTTTACCGTATATACAGTATTGCCCTGGAATATAAAATGCATTGATTTAATTAAGTAACTCAGTCACTCTTGGTGACTACTTTAAACGTACGTATACAACATGCGCATGCTTGCTTATTTTAGGCATGCTTGCTTGCGCAGCCTAAAATAATTGCGAAACAACTGTATTTACAAACGTGTTCTTTTTATTTAAATTATTTATTTTTTCTTTAAATCAATTACTTCATAAAGTATTTTAGAGTTTCTTCAAGTGTATTCCTTCCTCACTCATTTTAGGATGCTGTCGGCACAGTTATTGAGCTAATGGTTTATCCGATACCAAAAAAAAAAATGTCATTTTATCAGTTTTGTTCATTAGAATTGTCGGTAACGCAAGTACTAGAGTGGACTACGTCTATATAGTTCTTTCAGTGACCTTTTGAAAAAAGCTTATTCATTTATGTTTCAGTGAAAAACTCCGCAAGCTACGCATATCTTATATAAAACGTGCTGAAATGCACTCATGCATGAGCAACCGTTTGTTGAACCGGGAACATGCCCTTCCTACCATTGATGCAATATCAATCACTTTAATGACGTCCCTAGCATATGGCCGTTTGGGAGGACAAATAAGGCTTATTAACGTCCTCAAATGTTCTTCAAGACTTGGAGGGGTAACCATATATCAGTTTTCACTGCGTTTTCACAGCTCCCTTTTCATATTTATCATTATCTTGTCTTATTACGCGTGTGTTGCGTAAAATTAAAACCTTTAATAGCAGTCAATCAGTTTCATCGTCACGCGAAAGCCTCAAAAGTATTACTAACCTGTTGGCCAATATTGATAAATGGTTCTGTGAATTGTTTTGATACAAAAATTTCTTATAACTCTGTATTGAGAAACTTCCCCTTGCATGTGTAAGGCATTTGAGTTATCATCGTTAAGTCCTGTGTACTGCTCTATCCGTCCTCCTTTTTCCCATCCAGTAGGACAACCTGCTTTGGGCTTGAGTAGAGCATAAGTTCCAGCCAACCAT